TTTCCCCTGTGTGGAAGGACATCCCAGGTATAGGTGATGTGTAGCCTCTAGTTCACAAGGATCACCTGACTCCTCTATGTCCACAACGACAAAATGCCAGAAGTTGACACTGGAGCCCAGGGCTGCCCCTCTCCAGAAACTGGCTTCCCATCCCCACAGTTACCCTCAGCAAGAATCACCCAGCCAAGGGAAAGGGACAGAGAGTATGTGGATGAGAGGACCTGGGGGCAGGGAGGGGGGCAGGGTCTCACAGCCAGCACAGGGATGAGAAAGTTCAGCCCCAGCTCAGTGTGAGCCTGTCTTGGGTACGCAGTGACATATGCCCAGGGCCACCAGATCTGCTGCCCTTTCAAGGGTTCCAGAAACCAAATTACTGCACAGAATCTCCCTATTTGTACATGTTGGCTCAGCATTTACAAAAAAAGGACAAACATTCAGACAAACAGAATGCCACTGCTCCTGGGCTGGCCTCCTGGCCACAGTCACAGCCTCTCTATCAATCAATCCCCTCAGCTCCCAGAAGCTCAATGGGGGGTGAGCTCCCAAGCTCCAGGACTGACCATGTTTCCATGTCTGGTGGTGCCAGGGCTGGCACAGATGTGCTTTGTCAGACTTTGGGGAACATGGGAATGGAAGCTGGTTCCCAGACAGCAAGCATAGACCCTGGCTCCCGCTTCTGTGTCCCAACCCTGTTCATAATCTTGCTCACTGTTCCCTGGTGCTGCATACAGTTTCCAGGACTACAGAGATGGGTCAGTCGGTAGAATGCTTGATGTGCAAGCATGAGGACCTGAGTTCAAATCTCCAGCAACCAGGTGTGGCAGCTTGTCCATAAGGCCAAGGTGGGTGGTCAGATGGGTCCTGGAGTTCATTGGCCAGCTAACCTAGATGAACAGAGAGAGGGATTCCAGGTTCCATGAGAGAAGCTGCCCCAAAAGAACAGGTACAACAGCTGAGGAAGACACCCTACCTCAACCTCCACCTGAGCACATACAGACACCCACAGGAGCACACACAGTGCAGTTTCCCAACAGGCATGCTCATGTGCACGATAATCCCACACCTGTAACATGAGGAGGCAGAAACAGGAGGGTGGAAAGTTTATAGCCATCCTGGGCTATCTAGCAAGTTGGAGATTAGGCTAGGCTATAATGTCTCCAAAAAAATTGTGTTTCCTGTACTGCATTCTGGCCCCATGGAGCCTACATGTTTGCAGTATACCAAATCTTTATTTAGTATTTTGATGTGTATGGATATTTTGCCTACATATTGTTCGTGTGCATGCAGTAGTCACAGAGGCCAGAAGAGGGCATCAGATCCTCTGGGACTGTAGTTACAGATGGTTGTGACCTCCACATGGATAATGGGAACTGAACCCAGGTCCCCTAAAAGAGCACCCAGGACTCTTAATTTCTAAGCCATCTCTCCAGCCCCAGAAATCTATACTTTCAGTAGTCTTGAAACTCATGTGTCAGACCCTTCAGAAGATAAACTTAGAGGGCCTATGGAAGCCAGAATTATGCAAAAATCTATGAGAGATTAAAAGATGTGTCCACACAAAGAAGTGGTACATGAAGGGTGACTGACTCAAGTGTCCATCAGGCGCTGCATGGAGAAACATGCGCCTCAATCCCCCACTGGATTGTCATGTGGCTTTTAAAAAGGAACGAGGAGAAGTAATTTGTGTTACCATGTAGACGAACCTTGATTTGTAAAAAGGTGCATACAAGAAAGAAGCCACTCACCCAGGGCATATGATTCCATTTGGTGACATTTCCAGAATGAACACTTGGAGTACTTACCACTCTCCAGAGAAGGGGACAAGAAGAAATAGATGCTGGGAGGGGTGGAGGTTCTTGCTGTAATAAAAAACACTCTGGAACCAAATATGGTGATGGCTGTGCAAGCTTGACATATACTAAATTCTATGCTGTCGACTGTATTTAGATTGTATTAAAGATAGACTATCTCCAGTGTCCTACCCAGTGGAGTGTTTCCATGCTAAAGAAGATGAGACAAGAAAGAAAATAACGACACCAGAAGGAAGAGCTAAGAACTAAGCAGCTGGAGAGTGGCAGAGGTACTTCTTCTGGCTGGGGATCTGCTCTCCGCTGCCCGGGGGTCTGCTCTCCGCTGCCCGGGGGTCTGCTCTCCAGTCTGAGCTGCAGCAGGTGAGTGGGAGGAGTGTGTGGATGCTAATGAGTTATAGACTCTGCTGTTGCCTAGATTATCAGGAGAGAAATCAAATGCTCATGTCCATCACATCAGACTTTTCATTCTGAGGCCCACAATCTGAAGCATCCTCCCATTACTCTGGGGATTGGCTGAATAAGGAGAGCTCAACCAGCTTGCACAGAGACGTGGGTTCCTGCCTCAGTACCACACAACTCCCAGGACTTTGTGGGTAGAGATAGGAGGGGCTGGAGCTCAAGGTCATCCTCAACTATGTAAAGAGTTCAAGGTCAGCTTGTGATGTGTGAGACCTGATCTAAAAAGAAATTAAGTAAATAAAATGACCTCTCAGAAGACAGTAGTGGTAAAATGCAGGCGTTGTCCTTGCTACGTTGTTTATAATTAATTAGGGGAAAGCAGATGCTAGGAGCCTGGGGAGATGGCTCTAAGGTAAGTGTGGGGACCTGAGTGCAGCATCTATGTAAAAAAGACAGGTGTGGTGGTGCATGCCTTTGATCCCAGCAGAAGCAGGCAGATTTGTGGGTTTGTGCCAACCTGGTCTACATAGTGAATTACAGACCAGTCAGGGCTACATAACGAAACCCCCACCCCAAAAAAAAGAAAAACTCTGAATGTGGCTGTGCACCTGTTACTCCCGTGCTATGCAAAGGCAGAGACAGGATTGAGGGGTGATGGTGGTTTGAATAGGTCTGGCCCCCATGGACGCATGTGCTTGAATGCTTGGCCCATAGGGAGTGGTACTCTTAGGAGGTGTGGCCTTGTTGTAGTGGGTGTGGCTTTGTTGGAGGAAGTGTGTCACTTTGAGGGTGGGCTCTGAGGTCTCATATGCTCAAGCTACCCCCAGTGCTCAGTCTCCTTCTGCTACCTGCGGATCAAGATGTGGGACTCTCTGCTCCTTCTCCAGCACCATGTCTGGCTGCATGTCACCATGTCCAGCCGTGATGATAATGGACTGAACCTCTGAAACTGTAAGTCACCCAGTTAAATGTTTTCCTTTATAAGAGTTGTCATGGTCATGGTGTCTCTTCACAGCAGTAGACGCCTAACTAAGACAGGTGGCTTGCTGCCAATCTAGCTCCAGGCTCAGCGGGACTGGGTCTCAGGAAATAAAAAGGCAGAGAGTTGACCGTGCTGGTGGGGAACAGTCAACATAGACCAGGGACACCTAGGAGAAAATGAAGGACAGGGGGTACAGAAACGGACGACAAGACAAGACTCTGATCAAGTCGACAACCTTTATTCATCCCAAACGGATTTATATAGAAGTGAGGAGGGGAAGGAACGGGCGTGTTAACTGTAACTGCGATGAGCCTGGCGGGCAAAGGTCAGTGGGAGGGGTACGTCATCCTGTGTCCTCTGGTAACCTAACTGCAGGCTCTAACTTTATCTTTCACAATCCACCCTCTCTCGTTCAAGCCTACACCCTAGTTACTTGGTAATTTACTAGGCGGATAAGCCGAAAGTCTGTTTCCTCGGAACTTGCTTCCTATCTTAAGAGACGGTATTTCTGCAGTGTGGCCTGGAGTCACCTTCTCTATGAGAGACGTGACAATGCTATGGCTGGATTATGGCAGAGATCCCTGGCAGAGAGTTATAGATCAGGACACATGGCATTACTCCCATGGACACACGGACAGACACCCACACATACACTACACACACAGACAGACACACAAAATGAAATCAGATAAATAATAACAATGAAAGTGGCAAACACACAGCCGCTGAGAGTGTATGTCATAGTCATGATATCGTCACAGTGGGGAACACAGGACAGAGTGAAGTATCTGTATTTAGTGGGGAGTGGAGGAGCCGTAGAGACCACATGAGGTGCGGGACACTTAGCCTTTGTGAGGACAAGACATCCAGCTGACAAACTGGTCATTAAGAGACCTCGGCTCACTCGCTTGCTGGCTCGCTCTCTCACGTGGTACTAAGGCTGGAACCCTGACATCTGTATTCACCACAGAGGGAAAGATAGACAAATGACAGTGAGGCCCAGAAGATGCCTCCTCACCCCGATGGTCAGCATCTCCAAGATGGCTCTCACATGTCTCACGGAAGGCGTGTCCCTTTGGAGCTCAGCATCTATACCTAGCACACATGCTCTCAACCTGATGGTGAAGAAACAGTTGCCAACCCACACAGGAATCCTTCCTAAAATAAACTACCAGTGCCCTCCTGGAGGGTCAGGGCTACGACTGAGAAGAGCCGAACCCCTTCCAGAGCAGATAGGAGTCTGGAGGACTGCCTGCTGTCTGAATCCTGGCCTGGATCCCAGAAGAGGGAAAGGCCATTAATAGAAAAGTTGGTGAGATGTGAATAAAGCTTGTGTGCTTATGAATAGCATAGTACCCAGGCCATTTTCTTGGTATTGGTCACTGTGTTCTGATTACACAAGACGTTAGAGAAGATGAAGGGAGGACAACTCTCTGTGCAACCTCAATGACTTTTTCCAAATCTAAAACTATTTTGACATTAAAAAAAAAGCAACATACCCTATGAAAAATCAACTCATCCTGTGACATTTGTTTTGCATTTTTAAAGATGGGATTCTTACAATCTGTTGGGCACTGCTGTTGACCAGTACGAGACTGAGCAGTCGATGCCGCAAGGTTCATGTCCCTCTACAACCTCAGCATGTAACTAGGTCTGGAAAAGGAATGTGGATCTTCTCAGGTATAATTAAGGTGTGGTTAGACTGCATAGAGTGGGACCTGATGACCAGTGTCTTTGCAAGAAGACCCCTGAGCACACATGCACGCTCATTGTTGGACTTATGCCTTTGTCTCTCCCTCCAGTCTCCCATCAGGAGGCTGACTCCTCTCCTGGAGCATAACGGCTTCCCCATTCAATCTAATGGCACAGTCTGTTCTGGAAGACCACAGTTGGCAGTAGCACCAATGGAAAGGATCCCACCTCTGTCCCAGCACCCACTGCAGAGATTGCAATATGGAATGCGTTGGATTTCCTCAGCTAGGCTGTGAGAAGGGCCTACAGAGATCCTCTTAGGAGTACGGAGCCTGGGCTGGGAGGAGGTAGGATGCTCCCTGGGATGTGTTACTTTGCTAGGGCTGATGTAATGCAGGACAGGGGTTCTCTTGTATCCTTGAGGGGTGGATTCCAGACCCCTGGGAATGCCTGAAACCATAGATGATAGCTATGGTAAAGTTAACATAAATTAGACACAGAAAGAGACAATAACAAATAGTATACTAAAATTGCTATATTACGTAAAACAAGGATTATTTAAACATAAGCTCTGTGATGCTATAATGGTTTATTTGATAAGAGACAATAAATGACTTACAGAATGGCAGTGTATACAGTGTGGGTACATTGAGCAAAACATAAGCCCTATAATACTTATAGTCAATCTGATCAGAGAGATAGCAAAGTGACTAACAGGAGGATAATATATGCAGTGTCAATGTGGTGCACAAAACATAAACCTTACTATGACAATCAATTTAATAACAGAGCTGGCTAAGTAACTAATGGGCAAGTAGTATATAGTATGAACACACTGAACACAGCATAGGCCCTGTGATACTATGATAATCAATCTCATGATGGAAACGGCTATGTAACTAATGGGTGGGTAGTGTATACAGTGTGGATATACTGGACAAAGATTAATTCACATCTTAGGTAGGAGAGTGTAGGGCAATGTGAGCTTTCATATTGCTACTTAGAATGTTTGAAACCTATGGATTGAGTATTTCTAGGATATTTCACTTGGTGTTTTTGGGTTGCATTTGGCTATAGATAACTGAACCTTGGAAAGCAAATCTATGGGTAAAACAATTTGGAGTGCTGGAGACAAATGAAGTATATTCTTTCACAGTCTGGAAGCCAGAAGAGTGATATCCAGGTGAGGAGCTTCTTTGTTGCAGTGCTGGAGACAAATGAAGTATATTCTTGCACAGTCTGGAAGCCAGAAGAGTGATATCCAGGTGAGGAGCTTCTTCGTTGCAGGTTCCCAGAGGAACTGGTCAGTGCCTCTCCCCATCATCTGCGGGCTACTGGAAACACTCAGTGTTTCTTAGTTTGTAAATGCACCACTTAGATCTCTGTTGCCATTGTCACAGGGGTCTCTGAGCGTGTGCCTGTGTGTTCAGAGGTCTTCTTGCAAAGACACTGGTCATCAGGTCCCACTCTATGCGGTCTGACCACACCTTAATTATACCTGAGAAGATCCACATTCCTTTTCCAGACCCAGTTACATGCTGAGGTTGTAGAGGGACATGAACCTTGGGGAAACACTGACTGCTTAGTCTCGTACTGGTCAACAGCAGTGCCCAACAGATTGTAAGAATACCATCTTTTAAAATGTAAAACAAATGTCATAGGATGAGTTGATTTTTTTCATAGGATCTGTTGATTTAAATAGTTTTAAACCTAGAGGAAAGACACTGAGCTTCTAGATCAAGTCTCAGCTGAAACTCTCATCATTTCTGGGATTTTTTTTGAGTTTTCTGGTTTGAGAAAGCAAGGTTTCTGCTTTCTGCTCCCTGAGACTCAAAGAGCCCCACCTGACTCAGCTAAAGCTGGATGCACAGAAACAAAGGCCATCAACAGGCTTAGGCTCATCGCTGCATCTCAGCTCTGTTTCTCTGTTGCCTTCACTCTTGGGCAGCTTGCTTTTCTACCTAGAGATCTAAAAGTCCAAATAAAGTTTAGCCACTTCCATGGGAAGAACACAGTTTTTTACCTGTCTACTTCTGTCACGGCAATGATGTGTAACAAGCATTTCCAGAAAGCTCAGTCGTTTGCTACAATCTTTTTTCCATACTCAAATATGGAGTTATGTTGGACTCCAGGCTTCAGTTGGATTCATTGAGCTCTCCATCCTGGAACCCCCAGAGGAAGCTGCCATGGCCAGCTGGGTAAATCTTCTCAAAGTGGCAGTCGGGGCAAACACACCTCAAGCTTCCTTCAGGCCTGACTTTGGGACTGGTGACTTGCCACTGCTGGACAGCTTCCATAGACAGGAGAAAGACAGGTAGCTGAATCCATGGTGAACCAGAGAGAAAGACTACTCTCCCACAGCAAGAATGGGAGGGAGGACAGGGACCTTTGTCAACAGATAGCTTTGCCTTCCTCGAGAAGCTCCTTGAGCTGAGTCCCTCACCTGACTCAGGGTTGCTACTCTTCCCATTGTGTCCTAACCAGGGGCGGGGAGTAGGGAGGCTCTTGGGGCACTGTAACCATCATCAAGACTACAGGGTCTTTATAGGTAATCAGTCAGTCAATGAGAAGATAAATTGCTTAGACTAGCAATCTGTGGCTCTCACAGTGTATATCCTTCTCCTGGGGATTTTATGAGAAGCACTGATTCCCTTTTGATGGGCCCAGGCAGAGACTGGGAGTCATGTCTACTGGGTACCTAAAGACCAACTACAACACCGGTGTCTCTCAGTCTCCACACGCTAGTTTTGCAAAATCGCTATCCCACCTGCCATGAAGACTTACTTGGCAGGGCCAGAATGTGGGTGCCATGCATGACATCCCTATTATCCGTCATTCACCCTATGCTCCCCAACTCCCTGCCTCCAGGAAAGAGCTCAGTCTGGGCCAGCCTGGAGTCAGAAGCAGGTATCACTGCACTTCCCATTAACTGCCCTAAAATTCCCTGTAATTCCATTGATGTGATCCCCAAGACTCAATTACAGTTATCAGGCAATTAGGCGCACCACAGTGAGGTGATTGCAAAATTAACGCTGGCCCCCCGTCCAGCATCTTTGGATCCTCCCAGGGAGCATGACTCTATCATCCCGCATCTGGGAGACAAATGGCAGCTGATCTTCCCTGGGGCTCTGAAAAGAATGTTCTTAGAAAAGGACCCTGGGGCTACCAGGGAGGGGACAGCTGATTCCGCATCTGCAGAGAACTCTGAGCAGTCTGTAGCCTGCAGAGCAGGTGCAAAGTAAGGTGAAGTCAGGCAGACAAATGTAAAAGAAAATCACATCTTGGCTACACTGACATCTGTGCAGTGGTCAGTGCTGCTAAATGCTGATATCATCGCCTTTTAAAGAGAAACAAACCCTCCCTACCTTCAGGTTGTTAGGGAGACAAGGATTTGTGTATTGCTTCACTGGGTCCCCACGGGCTCCTGTCTGATCCTCTGTGTCCCCAACTATAAAACAGGGATAGTAAATCATGCCTAGCCTATGGGCTGGACAAGAGGACAGTGTGGGGGTGATTTTGGAGCCTCCTGTGGACAATGCCATGTGTTAATGACATGTGCCTCTTTTCTGCTGCACCCTCTGGAGGCTGTTTTGCACAAGTTCCAGGTCTCCATGCTTGGGAGACCATTGTACAATGGGCAGAGGGTGTTCACCCACTCACAAGAGAGAATTGGTAGTTATCTGGATGTGGAGAAAAGAGGATCAGTCTCTGAAAGTGATCTTTGACTTTTTAAATGAACTTTGACCCATACCATCAGTGAAGTGGTGCAGCAGAGACCCCAGAAAAGAGAGGTGAGTGAAGGTGAGGGGCAAAGGAAGTCAGCTTCCGGAGGACTGGGGAGCCTTGGTGACTGGGAATCTCACTCATCAACTTGCCATCCCGGTTTCTGAAGCACACACTTACCTGGACATGTGCGCTTCATTCACACAGAGACATGCATTAGAATACACAGTCACAGGCACAGTCCCACAGCAACACATATGAGCACGTGCCTGGAAGCTAGGGAAAGAAGCATGCAGGGAAAGACAGACCGACAATCAATATGCACCTCCAATAGAAGTACACACAGATATATACAGAGATAGCCACTCACAGAGACAAAAATACATGATCAGATGCATGTATGCGTGCACAAACAAAGCATACACTCATACATACATGATCACTCATGGCACCTTAAAACCAATGCCCTGGCCTCCAGGCTCAGCCCCACAGCATCCTTTGTAGTTGAGTCTGTGACTCCACAACTGTCCACTAGACGGCGCTCCTGTTCTAGAAGTCCCGAGGCGCTAGCACATTGATATTCAGAACAGGAAATCAAGGCTTGGTTGTCAAAACTCCCTGCCCTTTCCAAAGTGAGAAAACGTGGTTGTGGAGGAGAGGGGGAATGTTCTAGCTCCTACCCGGTCACTCCTGCCCTATTTCTTACCGGGGAATTATGGTCTGAAACAGGAAATCCAGGAGAGCCTTTAGTCACCATCCTGTTTAGAGGGGAAAGATAAAAGAAGCCATGGTTATGAAAAGGTAGTTCCCAGGTTTGTCAGACACAGTCCCTAAGTCGCTGACTCTGTGACCATGAGTGAATTACTTGGCTTGCTCTTCCTCTGTTTCCTCATGGAAGTCTCCCCTACCCCCAGTCCCTGTGCAAACCTACTTCCGCATCCACATGTGTCTATATATTCAGATCTCTGGCTGTTCTCCCAATCCAGGTCTCATCTCAGCAGCACTACACACACACACACACACACACACACACACACACACACACACACACATGCACATTCACACCCATACACATCCAACAAAGCCTCCCTGACCCTCTCTGCTAATACTTTGCAGCTTGAAACTGCCACATTGTTTCAAAGTTGTTTAGTCCCCTTCTGGATGATGTTCCCTTGAAAGCAAGACCTGAGGGTTCTCTTCATCCTTGTATGGCCACAAGCATGATGCCTGGGACCAGACAATCTCGGCTCTTCGCCTGCAGCCTCAGGTCTGTGCTGGTGCTGCCCTCCAGTGGCGCTGAGATCATGACGACTGCTTTTTCCGGTGCCCAAGTGTATGTAACCTGTCCAGCTCCTTTAGGCGGTCCACCATCCACTGTCCCTAGGACACATCTCGGTGGGGCATGGTGGAGAAGCAACCTTGTCTTCCAATGATCTTCCCACCTAGGTTTGAATAACCAGCCCCTGAGAAAAATAAGCTTAATCTCAGAAGACACCAGACGTGATATGCTGTCTGTCTCTACAAAGTTCTGGCTAGGTACAAGCCAGTCTGACTCTATTTTATTCACGTAACCGCTAACACCCAATGGTAAAAGTGTCTGGTCTGGGACTGGCGGTTAAAAGCGCTGGCTGATCTTGAAAAGGACCCAAATTCGGTTCTCATCAGGCTGCTCACAGACAATGAGGGCACCGGACTCCCTCTTCTGGCCTCTACAAACACTCGCACACACAGGATACGCAGAAATAAAAGTTTTTTAATTGCCTGGCCTAAGGTACCTGAAAACCTGCCCCTCCATCAACTACCCTGCCTGAGCACAAGGCAGCCGCACCTTGCAAAATTCGTGCTTGCAAGTGGAAAACCGCTCGTGGTGTGGTATGATTCTGCTCTGCGGCCACGTTTTCTTTTCCTGCCATTGCCGCTAATATTTCACTGATGCTCTGCTGGAAATCAGCAGCTCGGTTCCCCGTGCCAGACGGGCAGTCTTCATCGTGGCTGGTGGCATCTCGATTTCTTCCCGGAGTTACTGATTTTTCGGGCTCCTGCTTCAGCACCACTACTTATAGAGCCCTCGAATGACATCGTCACGAAACAGGTTAGACTGACTGGGGCTGTGACTGTTGACAGTGGTAAGCTAGTGGTGGCATTTGCAAACTGCAACGCGCATAAACGGGAGCGCATGCGCTGAAGAAGGCACTTATCCAGGTTTAATGACCCTCGGCCACTGTGCCTGTGATGAGTTTGCCGTCCCCAACTAATAACCTACTTAGTGCCTCCAACTCTAGGAACTTTGGCAGTGCTTGGGAGACTGTTTTCGGTGCTTTTGTTCTAACGTGGCGGGGGGGGGGGTGTCACATTGTGATCAACCTCACACAAACAACTTGGACCTTGCCAAAGCCACGTAGAGTAGCTTCGATTCTCGGGAAGGCGTCCTGGTTGTGCGCTTACCACCACTATCCCGAGAAGGTGGGCTATGGGAGCACACTTAGCAACAAAAGAGGGGCCTGGCCGGTGCCAGGCCGTGTGGGGATTGGCTGCTACCGAAGTCCCTTGAGTATAATTTGGCTGGCCCAGCTCTGCTGTAAGGGGAAGACGGGGGTCCACCACCCCGGTGCGGAGCCAGAAGGAGTGTTAGACACGTGTTGGGTGGGAGAGGGTAGAAGTCATCCATAGGATTCGGTACCGTCTGAGCTTGAAGTCTGTGTAAGGTTATCTACATTTCCACATTGCCAAGAGGGGCTTCTCAGCCCAGCAGCCCCTGCGGCCTGTCCTTTTGACCTTCCCTGGCCTAGAACTGCTTCCAGAAAGCTCCGTCACCTAGCTCCAAAAATAGGTAAGGCCCATTCCCCACCTGAGGAAAGAGAGGGGAGGGGCAGCTAAGGCCGAGCTCTAAACCAACTGGTTTTGCTTGCATATAACCTCGAGCAAACCCCTCTGTTTTCCCTGAGCCTCAGTTTCTACCTCTAGAAAATAATGTCCTGGGGGAGGGCAGGAGCCCACTTTGGACTTTTCACACTCTGGCTCTGAGTTGGGTCTAGCCTGAAGGGGAGGTGGACCAGCTCCCAAGGCCTCTTCACTCCCAGCTGCCCCATCCAAGCTTGCTGCTCCCGGCTGCCCCGCTCCCAATACAGCAGATGAGCTGTGCACTTGGTGAGGATAGGTTAGGGGACCCCGAGGGCCACACTTGACTGGTCCCCTCATTAAACAAAAGCACCAGCTAGGGCAGAGGCCATGGCCAGAGTTAGGACCTGCTGGCCTGGAGGAGAGCCTTACTTCCCTTCTAGACCCCAGCTGCCCCAGAGCTTTAGGTTAGTCCCCAGATTACAGTGTGGAGACGCCCTGTTCTCTAGACCCCAGCTGTCCCCGACCCCCCCACACACACAAATGAGCTGTTTTGGGTTCTCCTGCTGTTTTAGCTTACACTGCCTCCAATGGTCTTTCACCCCTCCTGGCTCTCACCGTCTTTCTGTGCCTGTTCTGGCATGAACCCCTCTATTTACCTTGGGCTGCTCAGAGCCGCTCAGGTCCTGCCCATGTACTGCTGCGACTCCTACCCTCAAGTTCCCTTTCTCTCACCAGCCTCGCATCTGTGGGTTCCGGTGTCCCTCCAGGGATCTGTCTGTAGGTGGGGTTCCGGTGTCCCCTTCAGAGTTCTGTCCTATTGATGGGGTTCTGGTGCTCCTCCAGGATTCTGTCTGTTGGCAGGGTTCCAGTGTCCTCTCCAGGATTCTGTCTGTTGGTGGGGTTCTGGTGTCCCCTTCAGGGTTTTGTCCTATTGATAGAGTTCTGGTGTTCCTCCAGGGTTCTGTCTGTTGGAGGGGTTCTGGTGTCCCCTCCAGGATTCTGTCTGTGGGAGGGGTTCTGGTGTCCCTCCAGGGTTCTGTCTGTTGGCGGGGTTCTGGTGTCCCCTCCAGGGATTGTCCTATTGATGGGGTTCTGGTGTCCCCTCCAGGTTCTGTCTGTGGGTAGGGTTCTGCTGTCCCCTCCTTCTTACTGGGCTCCTTCCCTACTCCTGGGTTTCAGCACCAGTTTGAAAAGTTCAGGCTTGGGATTCAAGGGGACATGGAGGCAAATTGCCATTTGGATATGAGATTTATTAAAAGAGTTATCGATACTGTAGACAGACAGCTCTGGGGAAAGATTAGGTGCACTGGGCACAATGACAGTCCCTTGTACCCTGGAGGAGGAGGGTGACTGACTATCACACTGTTGATAGACAGGTTATAGCACATGCTTGCAGTCCGGTTGCCTGGAGTCCTGGGGCTGAGGACAGAGAGAGTGGGCATCTATAAAAACAAGTTAATGGAGATTTGCAAAATGACTTAGCCCTAATTTACAATCCTCTGCTGCTGGGGGCTGATAAAAGCACACTTGTTTTCTCCTGTCCTCCAGACACCAAGGACCCCATGGAGCAGGAGAAAGGATGGGGTGGGCTAGTTCAGACACAAGGAACCCCAGGCTAACGGACCCAGAACCCGCCTCAGTCATTTCTACCCTCTAACCTCTGCCAGATTTCAAGAGCCTCTTCATGCTCCCGTCTCCTGTGGAGAAGGGTCCTGAGGGCAGGGGTGCCTGCATCTCTCTCCATGTCCCCAGCACCTGCTTCCTGATTGGAAAGGTGTAGGCTAAAGCCGTGTGCATGAGCCACTGACACAGATGTCCCAGTTCAGAAGCTCTCTGAAGATGACTGCCTTAAAGACTCTCTCTGCCCATTCCCGCCTCACAGTCCCCAGACCGCCAAGCTGAAGAACCAGCAATTTTTCACTCAGCCTGGGGACAGCAACGAGGAGCAGGGGCTCTGAGTGAGAGAACAGAAGGAAGTGGCAACCCCGCCATGGTGGCCAGGGTTCCAGGAAGTACCTAAAAGCCCGGGGAGGACTGGGGAGATGGCGCAGTGCAGAAGATCCAGGTTCAATTCCCAACCACCATGTGGTGGCTCACAACAATCTGCAACTCCAGACCCAGGGCGTTCTACACCCTTTTCTGCCCTCCAAAAGCATGAAGTGTGTGTGCAGGGCTCAGACAGACATGCAGGCAAAATCTCCATAAGTATGAAATTATTTTTTAATTTAAAAAATAAGCAAAAATCATGGGAGTTTCTCCTCAGTGATATTTGCACACCTGTGTGATTTCACATGATTATCTGACAAGGGTTCATGTCCTTCCCGAGTTGAGTTGAATTTCTGAAGACTTTCATCACTAGAGGTTGGAGGATACATTAGGTTCTGAAAAGGAGTCCATGAGGAAGACAAGTACCCAGAGAAGAGAAACCAACACTGCCCCAGTAACTGAGAAAAGTTCAGATACTGGAATCCCATATTCCAACACCAGCCCCAAGCCCTCTGAGGAAGGCAAGCATAGGGAATAGCTTAGCCACCTGGGACTCTGCTTACCTTAGGCTATGGACACATTCCTGTAACATGAATAATAAAAACCCAGAGAGAGATATTGGTGTTCAAGCTAAATATCAGAAAGTAAAGCAGCCAGGTAAAACAGCCAAGCCAGTAGCTCTTACCTCTACCAAACTGAAATGACAGTCCTGTCTCCACGAACCCTCAGACAAATGCCCCGCGTTCCCGTTACCTCTCATCGTATATTCTTTTCTCCACCCAGTCATATGACTCCTGTCTCCATCTCCCTAGTGCTGGGATTAGAGGTGTTTGATCCCAAGTACTGGCATTAAAGGCATGAGCTCTGCTACTCTTTTGGACTGATTCACTCACCGTTAACCCAGGGTGCTCTTGGACATACAGAGATCCATCTGCCTTTCTCCTGAGTCCCTGGGATTAAAGGTGTGTACCACCACTGCCTGGCCTCTATGGCTTATGGCTGGCTTTGCATTCTGAACCCTCAGGCAAGCTTTATTAAATCATAAATAATATATAACCACCCACCTGTCTCTGAACAATGCACCCAGCAACCTATTAGCAACCTCAGACCCCCCACCTGCATCAAGCTGCAGGTGCACTGCTGCAAACAGTGGAAATGGCTTATTCCCTTGGCCACGCCTTGCTAGCACCTGTTCCAATTCATTATACTCTGGAACACAATCTGGGAACTAAGACTAATGGGCCATTCTAGGCTGCACTGGTTTGGGGTATGTGGTAGTTTGAGTGAGAATGGCCAACACAGGCCCATATATTTGAATTATTGGTTGCCAGTCATGGAGCTTTTTGAGAAGAGCTAGAAGACGTGGCCTTGTTGGAAGAGGTGTGTCACTGGAGTGCACTTCGAGGTTTCAAAAGTCCATGCCAAGCCGCCTCGCCCTCTATCTGCCTGCTACTTGGGGATCAGATGTGAGCTCTTAGTACTGCTCCAACGCCATACCTGCCTGCTGCCATGCTCTCCACCGTGATATTCATGGACCAGTCCTCTATAACAGTAAGCAGGCCTCCAATTTAATTCTTTATGTTATAAGTTGCCTTGTTTTTAGTATCTTCTCACAGCAATAGAACAGTAACTAAGACAGGGTACATGCCCAATAAGGGAAACTATGTCCCCATGTGAACTTTTAAGGAGAATTCCCTATTTACAAGTTACCTCTATGCACAATTGAGCAGACATAGACTTAAATTCAGATGCTTTATGGAAAGGGACCTGAGCAGTAAGGAAAGGCTCACGTAATCCAAGCCTGTCAGTCAGAATAGAGAACCACTCAAACCTCAGCCCTAGTAGCCAAATTCTTCCTTTTGCAGTCATGGAAACCCTAAACAATTACTGTGGTCATCGAGTGTCCTCACCCATGCAGCCTGCTGTCAGTCTTGACACTTTGTTTCTTTCTAATCTGTACCATGACTTCACTTTGAATATTTTCCCTGATGCTTTGCAATCTGTGTGAGGCTTTCAATTCACTGAGTAAGAATTACACATAAAAGTAAATATTTTTAAAGTTCCTGACGTTTTTTATTCTGTGTAACAATTATATACCATGGAGATGAGAGTACGGTAGTAGCATAATTAATAATGATAAAATTTTAAAGTTGAATACTAACAAAAATAGCATCTAACATATTTCTTAAGCACTTGATACATCCCATATTCAGACGACAGGCAAAGCCTCCTCCTCCTCCTCCAGGAAGCCCTTCTGGGCTAGGAGGGAAGCCCTATGAGACCTAAGACAGCCTTAGAGAGTTCTCAGAGTCTCCCAAACAGCCCTTCCTTCATTGTCCAAACCAAGGACATCATTTCTCTGGGGAAATCCCACCTCTGAAGGGCCCCAAGTCCTCCAAACCTTGGGCTATGGCCACAGGGACTAGAGATGATTGCTCAACCAAGGGGTGGATGGCATGTGCCAGCCCGTCTATGCCCAATTGTGTTCCGGGTCACGAGCAGCCTCTGGACCTCCTCATCAACAGGCCCTGAGGCCACATAGGCCAACCCCTGCCTGCTTTGCCACACCTTCCACAGGTCAGTGAGCACAGCCCTAGGCTTATTCACAAGACACTAAAGAACTGGACAAATAGATCAGTATTTATCCCGGGTATACAAATGGACTTTGGACTCCCATCCCACAACGAGAGATGCACTCTTACCCTGGACTCTTGGGGGAGGGTCTAGGCCCTGCCCTGGATGAAATGACAGACTATGGACACCCCCATGGAGGGCCTCACCCTCCCTGGGGAAATAAAGGGATATTGGAGGGGTTAGTGGGAGGGTGTGGGAGGAGGGAGGGAAAGGGAGAGGGGTCTGGAATTGACATGTGAAGCAACCTTGTTTCTAATTTAAATTTAAATTTAAATTTAAAAAAATCCCAGTGCCTAGAAGGGTGGCTCCACAGCTAGGAGCAGCTGATGCTCAACCTGAGGATCCAAGTTCAAATCCCAGAACCCACACAGTTGCTCTCAACTATAATTCTAGTTCCAGGAGATCTGATGGCCTCTGTGGGCACCTGAGCACATGTACGTGCACACACACACACACACATAAAAGTAAATATTTTTTAAAGTTCCTGACCTTTTTTTATTCTGTGTAACAATTATATACCATGGAGATGAGAGTAAGGTAGTAGCATAATTAATAATGATAAAATTTTAAAATTGAATACTAACAAAAATAGCATCTAACATATTTCTTAAGCACTTGATACATGCATGTTCCTGGACTCTGGGACTCTGTACATACAACCTCATTTAACCCCTGTGATAACCAATGAGGTACACATTTCTATTCTCAGCCCTTCTTCAAGCCTGGAAATGTGGGTTAAAGCAGTTTAATTTGCCCATAAGGATGGTACACACCAGTAATGTCAGAGCTCAGGAGGTGGAGGCAAAAAATTCAAGGCTTTCCTCAGCTACACAGTGATTTGGGGGCTAGCCTGGACTACCTAATGTGTCTCAAAAACAACGAAAAAGGGATTGAATCTGAACTTTCTAGGGTCACATAGTGACATGGTGACAGAATCTGAGAGCTTTTATGAGCTCATTCTGCATGTATTTGTACTGTAATTTTTTTGTATGGTCTTCTCTCTGGCTCTGGGATTTTTTGGTGTTTTGATTGAATGACCTAATCTCTTTTCTGTCTCTCCTGCTGCTCTATTTGTTTGCCAAGGCTGGGAACTGTCAATTTTCTCTTCCCTCTAAGAGAGTAGAAATAAATATCGATGGAGTTTGTGAAAACATAGCTAAATAGGTAGAGTGGGCATGGACGAATGAAAATGAATTTTTAAAATGAAACAACCAAGAAAGCAGACAAAATTGCTTTCAAAATGCAAGGGAAATGCGCACTCTCCCCAGGGTACACCGGCCTTATCAAGCCTTGGACTGATGGCTGTGAACATGCATTTCCATTCAGATTCCTTTCTGCTGATGTTTGTGGAATGCAGAGAGGCTTGGAACAGCTTTGCCTGCTAAATGCATAATTGCTGGGAAGCTGTTTCTAAATAAAAAGTCCAAAAGTCTGACGGGAAGGCAGTAAGTAGAGAAAGAAGTAAACCTAAAATAATGTTGGCTTTGTTGATGGTTCACAGGTTAATAGTGATATGTAAAGAAAAGGGGGCTGAGATTCTGTTTGAACAGTGTGTGTGTGTGCACTCACACATATGTGTATGTGTGTGTGCAAGTATGCATGTGTGTGCACACGTGTGAGAGAGAGCACTCTAGCGTGTATGTGAGTACATACATCTGGGAGGTCAAAGGTCAGTGTCATGACTTCCTCAGGAGCCATCTGTCTTGTGTTTTAGAAACAGAATCCCTCACTGGCCTGAAACTCAACCATCAGGCTAGGCCAGCCGACCAGTGGGAAGCAGGAACCCTTCCATCTGTGTGTCCCCAGGGCTAGGATTACAAGTATGACAGCTCTTCTACATGGGTCCTAGGGGTCAAACTTGAGCCTTCATCTTTGCAGGAGAAATGCTTTGTCAGTTGAGCCATCTCCCTGGTCCCCAATCAACTTTTTTTTAAAGAAGTACTTAATTTTTATTTTTTTTATTTTTTCTGAGACAGGGTTTCTCTGTACTTTGTAGATCAGGCTGGCCTCGAACTCACAGAGATCCACCTGCCTCTGCCTCCTGAGTGCTGGGATTAAAGGCATGCGCCACCATTGCCCAGTGAAGTACTTAATTTTTAATTATGTGTATATGTGGGGATATGTGTGATGATATATTATTTATGATTTATTAAAGCATGCCTGAGTATTCATCAAGCAAAGCCAGCCTCAAACTATAGAGATCAGTCAGTAGTGGTACACACCTTTAATCCCAGGACTCAGGAGAAAGGCAGATGCATCTGTGAGTCCAAGACCACCCTGGGCTACCGGAGAGTGAATCAGAGATCATGCCTTTAATCTCAGGACTTGAGAGGTATAAAAGGTAGAGGCCCCAGCACTCGAGAGGGAGAGGCAGGTTGATCTCTATGAGTTCGAGACCAGCCTGGTCTACAAGAGCTAGTTCCAGGACAGCCTCCAAAGCCACAGAGAAACCCTGTCTCAAAAAACCAAAAAAAAAAAAAAAGGTAGAGGCATTCAGTCTGAGAACTAGTCTCTAGTCACGTTGAGGAGAGCATAGCAGTCTGAGTGAATCTGAGGAGTAGTGAAGTCGGGAGCAGTCTGAGGATCGCCCCTTTGGTCTGAGCTGAGGTAGAGGTAAGAGCTAGTGGCTGGCTGCTTTGCTTTTCTGATCTTCAGCTTGAACCTCAATATCTGTCTCTAGGTCTTTTATTTTTCGTGCTACAGGTATGTGCACATGAGTGTGGGTGCCTGAGGAGGCCCGAGAGATGGATATCCCTGAGCCGCAGTCACTGGTAAACTGCTCCACTTAGGCGCTGGGAAATAAACTCTGACCCTTTGTCGAGCAGGACCAACCTTACCACAGAGCCATTTCTCCACCCCTTTCTGAAGTGCCAGCTTTACCGAAACATAACTACATACAGGTTCATAACTACAGAATTGTTGTTCTGAAATTTTATTTATTCATGCAATAATAACATAGCCAAGAAGGTGACTGACATGGAAAGTGATAAGATAGTAAACACTTTATCATTCCAGAAAGTTCCATGGTACTTTTTGGAAATCAGCCTCAGCAACCCAAGTCAACCCATGATTGTATTTATCTACTCTAGAATTTTGTATAAATGTGCACTTTGTGGTATCTTGTTTCCTTTCCCTTGGTAAAATGTTTTGTTGTGTTTATGTGTGTGAATGTTTTACCTGTGTGTGTATGTTTAACCTGTGTGTGTGTGGATGTTTTACCTGTGTGTGTGTGTTTGTTTTACCTGTGTGCATGTGGATATTTTACCTGTGTGCGTGTGTATGTTTTACCTGTGTGGGTCTGCACCACATGCACGCAGTGCCCTGTGTCCTCTG